GATCAAGTCTTGTCTGGTGGCAGGGTCTCTTGCATTGGCCAATTCCTTTTTCCTAAAACTCTGCCCACGGGTAGTTCATGGCGTCCCGCTGGTAGACAACCCAAAGAGGACGACGAAAACGCAAAAACCGGAAAACGTGCCAGTAAAGTGTCTGAGAAGGTTTGAAAGTTGTCAAAAGGTTTTTGGTTTCGTTTTCGCACATGATGTGGCACTGTTCAGTCATAATTCGATCTCAGTAGGCCCTGCGGCATTCGATCAGCAATCTCATGCAAGACACGTAAGCTAGTGGGAGTCAGAGAGAAAGTCACAAGAAGGACAGGAGAAGTCAGTGGGGGCCCTCCCAGATCTGGGTCTATGCACACGCAGCGCCCTCGGGATCACACCACAGCCCTCAGTGGGACTCTGTGGCGATACACACTTTTAACGTTGCTCGCAAGAGCTCAGTTGATGAAGTTACCCCTTTACACTCATTAGCTCTTGACTCGATGGAGCGGAAAGATGCTGGAACCGAAAGGCGATGGAGTCCGCGAATTTGAAGGTGTTTGAACAATTGGTTTCATCGCATTAGGCCTTTACGAAGTCTTAAAAAGTTGCAGGTACACACTCAGGCGTCCCCGAGTGGTTCCACCAGTCTTCTATAGCTTCGTTGGGCAACGTAACAAAAATTAAAGTTGCCCCCCTGCAACATCTCTGCATTAAACTCGAGGTGTGTTACGGCGTGCAAACTCCTTAGACACAGGTGTGGACACACACACACACATATATGTATATATGTATACGCAACCCCCCCCCAAAAAAAAAAAAACACGCACCTGCTCTTGAATGATCTCGACTAAAGTTCCAAAGTTCCAAAACTGCACAAATTTATGTCCCCAGAGTGGCTATGGTCAGGTCATGGGTCTACAGTTTTGGAACTTTGGAACTTTGGGGGGCTGCCAAAGTTCCAAAACTGAACAAACCTATGTCCCCAGAGTGGCTATGGTCAGGGCATGGGGTCTGCAGTTTGGTTTTTTTGGAACTTTGGAACTTTAAGGAGCCTCCAAAGGAACAAAACTGCACCACCCTATGTCCCCAGGGTGGCTATGGTCAGGGCATGTGGTCTGGGGGGCCCCCAAAAGTTCCAAAGTTCAAAAAATGCACAAACCTATGTCCCCAGAGTGGCTATGGTCAGGGCACGGGGTCTGCAGTTCTGGAACTTTGGAACTTTGGGGGGCTCTAAAGTTCCAAAACTGCACAAACCTATGTCCCCAGAGTGGCTATAGTCAGGCAGTTTTGGAACTTTGGGCGGCCCCTAAAGTTCCAAAGTTCAAAAACTGCACAAACCTATGTCCCCAGTGGCATGGTCAGGGCATGGGGTCTGCAGTTTTGGAATTTTTGAACTTTGGAGCTTTGGGGGGCCTCAATGTACAAACCTATTTAATTTCTCCAGGGTGGCTATGATCAGGTCATGGGGTCTGCGGTTTTTGAACTTTGGAACTTTGGGGGGGGCCAAAGTTCCAAAACTGTACAAACCTGTGTCCCCAGAGTGGCTATGGTCAGGGCATGGGGTCCGCAGTTCCGGAACTTTGGAACTTTGGGGGGCCTCCAAGTTTCCAAAGTTACAAAACTGCATAGACCTAGGTCCCCAGAGTGGCTATGGTCAGTGCATGGGGTCTGCAGTTTTGGAACTTTGGGGTGCATTCCTTGAAGGCGCATCTAATTTTCACGTATTTTTATTTGCTTGAATTATTTGCATTGCTCGAATAGTAGAATCTAATCTGTTTTTTCAATCAGGCGGGTTTGTATGTAATTCTAATGTGCTTCGAGAGAGTGCGCGCTGCTTTTAAAATGAAAGCTTTGTATATAATTTACGCGTTGCTTTCTTAAAGGTTGTTTTCTTAAACTCGCACCCCCAGCAAAACCCTCTCTCTAGAAGAAAGTCAGATTTTAATGAGAATTCAACTTACATAAAAATAGAAATAACTTTGCTTTGAACTAGAAACGAACATTGGAAGCTAAATTAAAACAATCAAAATCAATTTGGAAAAAACAGAACTAAACTAGATTTGTAAACAACTGAAGTTGAATTATTGCATAAGATTTAAACTAGCGGAAACTAATAGTTAATTACAAAATAGTTTGAAATATAGACTACTTATAAATTGACATACAACTATATAAATTAGAACTAACTTCGAGATAAGTTAAAAGCAAATTCGACTTAAATTAGATTTGGATTGGAATTAGGCTAAGATTGAATTAAGTTCTAATTGTTTCAAGTAGAATTTGACAAGAATTTATATAATTGACATAGAATTGCTTAACCTGCAGCTCGATTAGAAAACAGTTGCTGTAATCATGAATTAGAATTAGACTTGAGTGAGAATTACAACTAAAGCTGTAAAACATTTAAAAATAGGATTGTCTTAGATCTAAGTTTGCAGTTCATTGGGAATACAAGAAACTGCTACGTGTCAATGAAAATTTGGTTGTATTTGAATTCAAACCTAAGTCAACTTCCAATAAAAATTTACAGGTTTGTGCAAAAGCCCAAAGGACCAAAGCACAGACAAAACCAAAAACGCAAAAAACGTTGAGGAGAATGTTTGGTTCAGCCTCAAAAGATGTGTTTGGTTTTCATTGTGATTTTTTGGTTATGAAATCCCAAAACAAAAAACTTATTTTTGTGTTTTTGCAGGTTTATTGTACTAGAATACTGCCAAGAACCAAAAAAACTGAATGTATTTTGTTTTTCTAATCATATACATTTTGTTGTACTCATAGCAAATCATCAAACAAACGAAAAATATTTTTTGGTTGTAGCCAGCCTTCTTTTAAACCGTGAAAACGCAAAAAGTACAAGGGTGTTTGGCCTTTTGTATTTCAAAGCCAAAAAATGAAAACATCTTTTGAGGCTGAGCCAAACATTCTCTTCAAGGTTGTTTTAGTTGTTTTGGTTTGTTGTTTTGTTGCTGGTTGTCATTGCAAAGTGCATTGATTTGATATCCAAAAATATGCATAAACCATTGTAAATACCATAAATTTGATGAAAGGTTTGTTTTTTGGGTGTACCTTATATATAAATACGTATATATCATTTGAGGGGTATCATTCAAACAAATTGAGAACCACAAGCAAACCAGCGTGGCCCGAGCTAGGTTCATATGGCATACGGCATATGTACGTTCCCCACATTGACATCGACGTGTGGGGTTTTTGTTTCCGCTCCTCCTCCTCCTCCTCCTCCTTCCTCCTCCTCCCTCCAATTGCCACCAACCAACCACCAACAAACTCACAGAGATTGTAGGATGCCAGGGCGCACATCCGACCCCTTGCAGAGCACCAAGTGCTGCGCCTGTCATGCAAAAGCCCGCCAGGGCGTACATCCGACCCCTTGCAGAGCACAAGTGCTGCGCCTGCCAAGCAAAAGGGCGTGCATCCGACACCTTGCACCAAGTGCTGCGCCTGCCACGCAAAAGCCACGGAGACCATAGGATGGCTTGCAGAGTACCAAGTGCTGCGCCTGCCACGCAAAAGCCACGGAGACCACAGGACGCCAGGGCGTACATCCGACCCCTTGCAGAGCAAGGAGCACCAGGGCGTAGGCGTAGGCAATTGGTTGGTGGCAGTTGGTTGGTGGCAATTGGTTGGTGGACGTTGGTTGGTGGACCACAACACCAGCACCAGCGCCGACACCCTTTCGAAAGCGCGCAGCCAGCTCATTCTTATTTGCAGTAAGAACCCATAGCCATCCCTATTTGGGGAATAGCAACGTATGATCCGGCACCGGCGCCCGCTGTCTCTACCACGCGCACTGCCAGCAAGCACCGGCACCCGCGCCAGCAACCTGTCTCCACCACGTGCACAGCCAGCTCACAGCACCGGCACCCAGCACCAGCACCAGCAACCTGTCTCCACCACGCGCACAGCTAGCTCACAGCGCCAGCGCCCGGCACCCAGCACCAGCACCGGCACCAGCAACCTGTCTCCACCGCGTGCACAGCCAGCTCACAGCGCCAGCACCGGCGCCCGGCACCCAGCACCGGCACCGGCACCAGCAACCTGTCTCCACCACGTGCGCAGCCAGCTCACAGCACCAGCACCGGCACCCAGCACCACCAACCTGTCTCGAAAGCGCGCACGGGCAACTCATTGTTATTTGAAGTAAGAACACCATAGCGTCGCTATCTGGGGAATAAGTATTATACATACATACATACATACACATACATATTCCGTCCGCGGGCCTCTTGCGGACCTGCGCGGGTTCGCGGGCCAACACCCTGCGCGGGGCCGCGGGCTCGACACGGGCCCGCGGGCGAAACCCTCACACGAGGACCATGACTTGCAAGTTGGGCTCAGTCCAATCGCTGTAGTAGCTCTTCGATGGTGCTGCCTGCACATGTTTGGTTGAAAGGTTCCAGGCACCCAGGCACCAATCTTGGGCCGAAACCAGTGAAGTGCCAAGATGCAAAACCAAGAAGCATCAAGATCAACCAAACCTAGGGCACATGAGCAACAATCAAAAATCTGGGCCCTGGACAACCAACATTTGCACATAGCTTGTTTGATCTCCATGCGTTTTCAGGTAGGCCCAAATCAGGCAAGCCTTCAGAGGTCGCAGGCGCAGGCCGCAAGAGGCACTGCGTGGCAGCCATAAGTAAAGCCGAGCAAAGCGACCGCAAACACACCAAGATTTGTGCGTAGAGTGTGGCCCTCAAGACACCGGCCGTGAGTCACAGTCACTGTGTTCCTTTTCTAGCAGGACCGCAATGGTGATGAAGGGCAGGATTTCCTTGAAGCTCTCCAAACGCAATTATAAACCCAGCAAAGCTACGCAATGCTTAAAGGAGGCATAGCTGAACAAAATGGAAGCATCGTTTGCAAGCAGGGCCGTGCGGTGGGGTGGCCCATCACAGTTTGGGATAGATTTGTTCATTATTCATGTATTTTTGATTGGTTTCTTTGGCGTGTTGTTCCAGAGCACTGACGTGCGCTTTGCGGACAGACTGCGCGCCTAGGTTGGATTTGACGCCTTCCGAGGATGGGAAGAAGGCCTTGAAGGCATCTGCTCTTGGGCTCAGTTGGCCTTAGAGGTATACAGTTTCCGAAAGGTCTTACGAAGCACATCGCAGTCGCACATTTGTTCAAATGGTGCCCATGACCACTAGCTTTTCTGCAGCTAGCTGTAAGCCTGACCCGGCCAAACCGACAAGGGACGAAACTCCCCACCATTGCCGAAAGTGAAATGGCCACAATATTGGATCTCAAGCAGTTGTAACTAACTGTTGGCTGCCCTTCCTAGCCACCACTCTTGCCACAACGTTGTGGGCGTCGGTCTTGTTTGCAGAATTTGCATGCTCACACTTCAACAGGTGAACTCCGGACCTAAACTTCCCTCCTGAAGCAGAGATGCCAGGCGGTCCGCTTCTCTGTGAAGAGTGGACAGCGGGGGGCCAGAGTTTCTATCAGATATGGAATTGCTTTTGGCAAGGCATTTTGTCCCGTTGATCTCCTGAACACGTCTCCTTGCCGCTCAAGGTATGCTCCTCCAATGGATGCCCGAACAAGTGCAAAATTCTTCCAGGTCCGGAGCTGACGACGATGACTACTACTACTACTACTTCTTCTTCTACTTCTACTTCTACTACTTCTACTACCAGCAGGCCGCCTATTGCTGCATGATCTCAGCCCAGAGACAACTTTCACATTGCACTGAATCTCTTTTACGGGCTGAGCTTTTGACACCTAGAGTTTGGGGGCCGGCAACGTGGTTGCTTTGCACTTGCTTTGCCGATTTGGGATCAGCTCGCCGGTGGCTGCACCATGTTCTGAGTTCCTAAAAAATCGACGGCAATCTGAGGCCCGGCGGCGCTTCTACGAGTTAATGTATGAGCCACAGTGGCCTGGTTGAAGATGCAGAATATGGACACCTTTTTCGATCATAGAATCATAACTGGAAGTGGAACACAGCGGATATAGTATACATTGATGGCCAACGTACTTACTTTAGAGGATTTTGTTTAAATATTTTCCCTTCGCAAGCATGGTGGCAAAAGTATTCCTTCAACTCCCGCGCCACCAACATGTCAAAGATTAATTAGAGGCTCGGCAGTCGTGGGTGCGTGATTGTTCTTGGAAAGTTGCTTGCTGGAAGGCTTTGAAGTAACTGAACATGGAGAAACCAATCTGAAGCCCTAGGAAGAATTTTACGTTAAAAGCAAAGCGACAAAAGGACATGTGTTCTATCGCTTTGTGTGGGACACTAGGTGGCTTTTTGTCGACTGGCTGGGTGGGTACGGTGTTTTGATTCTTGTTATTGAATATTATTGGCGCAACTCGTTCCAAAGGCTTTGCTTGGAATTCATATATTTGGTTGAGTTTTGCGTAAACGATTTTAGGATGGTGTTTCATGTTTTTGTGTTTCGCACTTTTGGTTTCTTCTGTTGGCTTTTGGTGGCTTCTGTTGGCTTTTGACTGGCTTCTGTTTGCGTTTGCTTGGAATGATTCTGTTAGCTTTTGGTGTTGTTTTCTTCTTGTGTTTTTTGTTGGTGTTGTTTCTTCTTGTTGCTTTTTTGGCGGTGCTTTTCTTCTGGTGTTTATTTCCGCGGTGTGTGTTTTTTTTGCAGTGTTTCTTCTTCTGGGTGTTTTTCTTCTGGTGGTTTTTTTGACAGTGTTTTTTCTCCTGGTGTTTGCTTTTGCGGTGTTTTGTCTTTGGTGTTTTTTGTGTTGTGTATTTTTCTTCTGGTGTTTTTTGTTGTTTTTGTTTTACTTGTTGCGGTGGAGTTTGCGGTGGTTGTTTTCTTCTGGTTGTTTTTTGTGTTTTTTCTTATGGTGTTTTTTGTTGGTATATAGTTGTTTCATTGCGCTGGTTTTTATGCCCCTCTTGTTTTCTCTTATACTAGGTTGTGCCTTCTTTCTTGTGATTGTTAATTTCTGTGTTGGTGTCTTTTATTCTTATGAGTTTTTCGTGTAGACTTTTGTTGGCGCTGTTTGTTTTCGCTGCTGTGTTTTTTGGTTGCGTGGTTTTTCACCTGCTGTTTTTTTCTTGCGTGTATTCCTTATTGAAGCATGCATCGAACCCGCTAGACTTTGTTTATATTACAGCCCCTCCCCCGCACCCCCTCCCGCCTGTTACTTAACTGAAGGAGATCAAAACAATAGAGCGTCCCAGGAAGGGATCCAGGAAGCGACAAAGCCACCAACGAAGCCACTAACTTTGTTTTTTACCTTGCGGGGGAGGCGCTGCGCCCTCCCCGACACCCCCTCCCTCCCGCTTATTTTGAAGAAGATCTTAAAGAACAAAGCAACCCAGGAAGGCATACTATTTTGGAATGGCACCTTCCTCCTCTAGATCTGACCCGTGAACCGATATGACTTCGCATGCATGCTACATATCCACAAACTTCTATCGAACGCCGGAATCTATTCCACAGTGCGAAAGGATTGTATTCCAAGGTGGCATACCTTTTCTGAACCACGCGGAGGTTAAATTTCGACGAAATAGGTGCCAAGCACAGTTTTTGTGAGCCACGCAGGGGTCAAAGTTAATTAGAGGGGGAAGGTGCCATTCCAAAGCATGCCGTTTGTGAGCCACGCGGGGGTTAAGCCAAGCAATGAAGCAACCAACGAACCCCAACAACGAAGCCACTAAACTGACTTGGTTTACATTGCGGGGAGGCGCTATGCCCTCCCCCGCGCCCCCTCCCGCCTTTTTTTGAAGGAGATCAAAACAACAAAACAATCCAGGAAAGTATAATACATTGAATGGCACCTTCCTCTAAATTTGACCCGCGAAGCGATATGACTTCGCATGCATGCAACATATCCACAAACTTCTATCGAACACCGGAATTTATTCCACAGTGCGAAAGGATTGCGGTGTTCCAAAATGAGCCGAATAATGTGTTTCAGAGTGAGCCTAAACGGACTTTTTGTGTGTTCCAAAATGAGCCGAATCGCGTGTTCCAAAGTGAGCCTCCTCCGCTTTGTGGTGACTGCTGGTGCTGTATTCTTCCTCATTGAGTGCAGTTGTCAGCTGCCGTGGTTGATTGCTAGATTCTTGATCTATGCTCCGGGCCTTGGCCAATGCAGCGTGCGCGGTCCCTAAAGCCATGGCATCGTTCCTCTCAACCGCCCTCCCGCGCCACGAAATCTTTACTCAGTGTCACGATTCTGATTTTTTAGCGGAACACCTGTGTTTTTGGAAACTCCCCCTGTCACTTTGGCACTGAATTTCCTACGAAATATTTGTTTTGGAGGCTTACTGACTTACTGCATCAAGTGTCTATGACGCATCCCTCATGCGTCGGACCCGGGTGCAATACTCGGCGGACAGGTGGGCCACTACCCACCTGTGCTGCAGTAAAGGGGATGAACTGGGGTGCAGACTGTTAAAACACAGCAACTTTTGGAGAACGTCTTGGACGAAATGAGCGAAGGTGTCCACAGCAAGAGCTGAAAAAATCATTAAACCAATACGTAAAATTGTTTAAAAAGACCGGCGGCCGCTTTCACTTAGAGTGAGTTGATGCAATCAACACCGCCAGAATGCTCTAAAGCGAACATGTAGTAGTTAGTTTCTTTAAGATCCAAGGATCACGAAATATCAGGAAATTGACATGGCCTGCCGAGTGTGCAGTCTACCTGATGGAAATGAGCCTCCCCCCGCATCGGAAGTACTATAAGTCAAGTAAGCTGGCGCAGGGATTTGCACGGGTTTGTTTGGACGACTGGTTGCCGACCGTAGCCTTAGCTAGGCGGGCTGTTTTATTATCCAAGTGTTTTGTTTGTCAACTTTTGAAGCAAAGAAAGAATCCGGCGGGATTTTGGTCCAACACCCAAGGGACCGAGCAGGGCATGGACTCGAGTTCTACCCACCTTGGGCCAAGCATGGGTTCAAGACGAGGTTCATTTCCAACAAACATCTCCAATCATACCCCTTACAGGCACCAAGTGAGTGCATTATTCATAAAATATCATAAAACTCACCTAACACTGAAGGCAAAGGCGAAGTGATTCAAGGAGGACATCAAGGCTAGATCATCATTCTATAAGGACTTTCGATAAGGATTGGAGGAGAATGAGGGCCATTGTTGACACCATGTATATGTGTATATGTTTTTGTCTTTTATGGTGTGGTTTGTGCGAGGTGATGCATCAAAGACATGGACGTGCAAAATGGGAACGTTTCGACTTCATGATTTATGAGCAAGAGTCATCTAAAACCCTGCTGCCCTGCTACTATGTTTTTGTCATTTGGAGGGCGGGTAGTGCTATGAGCGTTTGGTGTCTTAGAATCAGCGACTGCTCGAAGATTCACACGCCACACGGATTTTCAATCACGTAAACAATCGTAAACAAATAGAAAAGGGGACACCATGTGAATTTTTTCCGAATTAGGGCCAAAGAAAAGACAGCGTTTTGATGCTAAATGGGTCACATTAATAGGCCTGTGACAAAAATCGACTAAGCCTAAGCCGCTCAAAGAGCTTCAGGTTCCCAGTCTAATCCTGTCCACCTATTACGAACGGTGGACCTTGAAGTGACCTGGAAGTGCAGATTTCGTGGCAGGTGCAGTACTTGGTGGACCTTGAATATAGCCATGGTTAAAATATATGCAGATATAATTAACCGCGGCATGTTTGTAGGATTGGGGCAAGAGGATATCAACCTGCCCAGAGCCAGGCAGACAGCCAGGGACAGCCAGCGGAGAGTCAGCAACGCAACATGGTCGGTTTTGAGGGTGTATTGGGACCTTTTTGAAGGAGTTTTGGGGGAACCTAATTTTTAAAACAAGATGGAACCCACGAACCCGAATGCAAACACGATCGAAAAACTAATATGTCCAAAGGACACTCTTGTAGGACACTCTTGCGGGACACACTGTAGGACACTCTTGTGGGCCACTCTTGTAGGAAACTCTTGTGGGACACTCTTGTAGGACACTCTTGTGGGACACTCTTATAG